CCTCGGCAGTCAAGGAAGAAGGTTTGGGCTGTAGATTGAACTGATTGTGATTAAGAGAGATTGTACAAGAAGGTGTTAGTAAAGCCTATCATGTAATTCAAACCCAGTTATTATTAGTTAAGGATCCTTGAACTTCGTGACAATGTATTAGGAACATTTCCATGTGACTAACTGCCTATATTCACCCATGGAGGTATATCTCCACCACTCCTGACCTCGGCACTAGATAGAAGTGAGTGGTCAGGTTCACGACCCCGCCGCCTTAACCCTAGTAAGATAGCTGCCGGTACCCATTGAATAGGAGGCTGGGTGGGTCCCAGAGCCGGTCTGGAAGCTGTGGAGGAGAGATAAAAGCACTTGCCCTTGCTTAGAATCGAATCCCAGTCATACAGCCTGTAGCCTACCCGCTATACCGACTGAACTATCTCGACTCATTGAGTCATTAACCTCTAAGACTGACGTATTGTCATTATAAAACCAACCCTTAAATAGGACATGTGAGGCTCCTGGCCAGTCACTTCCATTTGTCCATGAATTCTAATTACACTCTGAGGATGATACAGCATCTTTAAATAGCCATTGAAACTACTGCAGACAGAATCCTTCTTATTACTTCTAATTAATCCCTGAAGTTGGTACAGCGTCATTAAATAACCATTGAGACTACTGCAGACAAAAGTCAGCTAATTACTTCTAATTAATCCTTGAAGTTGGTACAGCGTCGTTAAATAACCACTGAGACTACTGCAGATTGTAGTCAGCTGAAACTGGCCCCCTAAGCAGCAGAGGCGGTGGGTGATGCCCTCAGACTACGGGAGCGTCCAGTGACTCCCTCAGCACTGCAACTTGGCATCCAGCGGATACTGACACGACATACGCTCCCTCGCGAGCCATTATATTGCAACCTGGGGACCGGAGTTTGCATGTGCCAGGCTGACACTCGCAGTGATTGTGTTCCTGTTAGAATCTCATATCGAACTCATGCCCCTGGAAGTAAACCAGCAAATCTCTGGTCTAATCTAATTAGAGTTCTGTCCCCTCGGATACAACGCCGTGTAGTCCTGTGAAAGACAAACGGACGTTTCGAAGGAACATATCGCCTCCATCTTAAGGGTTGAATAGTATGCCCATTAAGAAACCAGCATTAAGTAGGCAGTAAGTAAGGCGTCGTGCTGGTTTCTTTCTTGACTTACTCTTGAAGCCTGAACATATTTCTCCGAAACGTCGGTTGACTTCCATCGCACTACACAGCGTTATATCCGGGAAGACAGATTCCTTATTAACATCCGACGTATGATCTTCAGATCTAATTGTTACTTTATTTCTACGGGAACAAGTAGGGCTGGACGGACTTCGAGTCCCGGTAGAGGCAAAAATTTTCTCTTCTCCACGTCGTCCAGACTGGCTCTAGGGCTCACCCAGCCTCCTATCCAGTAGGTACCGGGGGCTCTTTCCTCGGGGTTAAAGCGGCAGGGGCGTGAAGCTGACCACTAACCTCCAGGTAGTGCCGAGGTCAAAAAATTGAGGATCTACACATACACTCCCCCATACGCCTTCATAGCATAGTGTTTAATTAGTTATGCATAGGAACAACTTTACCTTTTATGTGATTTATGGTAGTTGAAAGCGAATAAAAATGATCCGGCATAGCTCAGTCGGTATAACGACTAGGATGTGGACTGGAAGACCGGAGTTCGATTCTCAGCTGAAGAAAATGATTTTTCTTTTCTCCACACGTCCAAACGGCTTCTGAAACTCACCCAGTCTTCTATCGAATGGGTGCCGGAGGCTCTTTATCCGGAGTTAAAGCAGCAGGAGCGTAAAGCTGATTACTCACCTCCCTAATATGTCTTCAGCTAAGTACAAGAGAAGTGAAGGTGAGGGGACAGAAGGTTGATAATGCAGAAGAATAGGCATTGGTCGTAATAAAGTTCACGTTTTGTTACAGGGCCGCAGGGAGAAAGATTCGACTTTCTGCCATCACCCCTCTATTTAAGCAGATTTAGAATTCTGAACTTCACTACAATTTTCTTGTCATAAGAGACAAGAGGTTTCTACGACGGTGACTATGAAGAATGCTGTTTTCTGGGGTGTGGCGCAGTGTAGATATTGTGTAAACTGACGTTTCGAAGGAACGTATCGCTTCCTTCTTCATGGTATAAAAATCAGCGAGCGAGGTACCAGTGTGTTCACGGTGGTTCATCGCTATCTACACGGCACCAATTCTCATGATGTTCGCCATAACCTGAGGTACACTCACTGGCTAATAAGTTTAAGATGAGGATATGAGCCGTTCTTGTTTAACCCCGTGCAGTCCTGCCACTAAACGACGTTAAGATCTAGCAATGGCAGTTATTATCCAACTGAATGCACTCGGCTGTTAAGAGAAGCAATAGGCTGTAGGTTTGTCATGATCAAGGGATGTTTTCATTGGTTCTCCCACTGAGGGCAAGTTACAGCCCTTGAAATGACGCTATCCTAAGCCAGGAATGATGGGAAATCTCATCATTTTGCGGAGAACCTCTCGTTCCCACTGTTAATGCGCTGTTTTACTATGCACAGAAGCTGTATTCTGTCGCATTGACAGGTACAATGCGCGGCTGCAACGTTCACAGTAACGACTCACGTTTAAGGGTAAAAGCAAAAAGGATATGAAGAGAGGGAGAAGGGGAAAGGGTAAATAGATGCAAAGACGAACAAGGGAAGGAGAGGAAGAACACAGAGGAGAAATGGGAGGCAGATAGAGGGCAAAGGACAAGAATGACTAGAAATAATGAAAATAAGAAGGTAAACCTGTCCCTGTAACAGGCCGTGGAGGCCCATAGGGTTGTGAGACGTCGAGGCTCCCACATTTTCTAGACAATCGGCTCAAAGATGGCGTTAAGGTTGTCAGCCTTACGCGCAGGCCACCGGAAAATTATTTAATTAATTCCTGGTACTCATTTCAGTTAGAGGCTGAGTCGACCCCAGGGCCGTAGTATGGCTGGAAGGATTAGGTCAATTGAAAAATTCAATAAACTCATCGGGAATCGAACCCGCAACCTTCCGGCTTGTAGCATAGTGCCTCAACCAACTATGCTACCGTAGGAAGAGAGCAAGAAGGAAAAGGAAGGGAGCATAAAGAGAAGAAAGGGGAGGCAGATGGAGGAAGGACAGGAGTGAATAGGAATAATGAAAATAATGAGCAAAAGTGTGGGGGCGAGGATGAGAAGGGGGAAAGGAAAGAGGAATAAGAAGGGAAAGAGATAAATAAGAGTATCAAAGACGCTAAGTACAAATAAATGGTGAGAAAGAGGGGCGAATCAAGAGAGGAGAAATGAAAGCGAACACTGTGGAAAGTAGGACGAGAGGAGAGGTAAAAAGAGAACGAAAATGACAAAAAGACGAAAAAAGAGGAGAGGAAGAAGAATATGTAAATGAAGGACTAAAGAAATGAAGACATATGGGAAATGAACACAGAAAGATAATGAGAATAAAGGGACGGAGAAGGCCCAAAAAGAATAGGTACGAAGAGGAAGGACGATGTAGATGGTGAAGGAGAATTAGTAGGAATCATGAAAGTAACGAGGAAAAATTCAAGATGAGGATGAGGAGGTATAAAGTATGGTATGAAGGGGAAGAAGAGACAGGAAGTTGACAGAACAAGAAGAGAAATATATGAAGAAGACAAGTAATGAAAAACAAATACTGAGGAGGAGAGGGAAAAGTGAGAGAAAGAATACAGACCTAAACAGGATGATAAAGAGGTAAAAAAGAAGGAATGGAATAAAGGAGGAAAAAGGGAAAGGACTGAAGAAGTGAAGGAGAAAATGAGAAAGGATTAATTAAGAGAACAGTGAATAAGGACTCAAAACTTCGCATCACAAAGCCGTGGGCCGCCCTTAACCCACTTAGAGAGCCAGACCCCACAGACGGGCCTCGCCGCGGCGTTAAAACAAAACGTCAGGACGGTCTGCGGACTGCAGTCTCGTGGGGGAGGCGTTCGTGTTCTTGGCTACCCCCACTCTGTAAAACTCGTCTTCTTTCGTCCAACCGGATACCAACACCACCAGTAGGCCAGGCTTAGTTGCCGGGTAGCCCACAAAACTCGGGTGGTGGCCACCACACAAACCACGGCGCTACGGATTGGAGCTGTGCTGGCGGGGGAGGGGCGGAGAAGAGGGTTGCAGGGAGGGGGGGAGAATAGGGAGGCGACACTAGTCTGTCTCTTTCCTGTATCCCGCATTATAAAACAGGTTTTTCAGTCACGGGGGCCGGCTGTGAAAGAGGGGGCGGTTTGTATGGGATACTGACGAAAGAAAAGTCGTCGCGCCCTCCCTGCCAGTGACGGCTGCTTGCCTCGCGCAGTACTTCCCGAGCAGTTTACCGCTGTGGCAACGTTCGCTCCTACTCGTCAAAAACCGTTTCGCAAAAATTCGTTAAGTTACAACATTTCGCCTCGTGACAACTTTCTTCTTTTTGGTAACTGAACGTGTATTGGGTTCGAGATATAAATGTGGGCACTTGTGTGTCTCCCAGACTGTTCTTGTTGTTTCAAACAGCGCGAAACTTTCCAACGTAACTCAAAAGACATTTCTTTACGAAGTTGAATCAATCGGGCCAGCGCTGCAAGTATCAACTCTGTGTTTACACTGTTACGTCACATTCGGCAAAGTTCGGTTTTATTCGGTGAGAGAAGGGGTAAAGGAAGAAGGAGAAGAATAAGAGGCGAAGAAGAGAGACAGAATTACATGTGCGAGTGTGGTAGTGATAGGCGTCGTGACGCTTGCACCCCATAGGGAGGGACGGACGCCCTCTCCCCTGTGGTAGCAGCCTGACGTTGAGGTGAGGTCTTCTCAGCGTGGCGGAGCGCCACAAACGTACTCCCTCCCCTTCCCTCGCTCCCAGAGTTTCCACACATCGACATCGTCCCCCCTCCCCTCCACTTCATCTCTCTATCTCACACAATATTTTTTTTCCCCACAACTCTCTTGGAAGTTCAGTACATGGACGGCGCGCATGGTAGGGCCGTGTTCGGGGAACATGTAAAAGTGTAAGGATTCTTTTTCCAAAAGCACCCCCCTCACACAAACACACCAACACGTCAGTGAAACTTTGTTGTGACTTGAAGCTTTGCGACACGTAACAAAGTGATAAAAGTTTAAATGTCAGTTCAACTTCGCGGCCACCTGTTAGGTTCAACAAGACCTCCAGGAGAGAGAAAAAAAAGAAAATAAATTCAATTGTAATTTCGTTTTGTGAGTGAATAAATGCCAACCGTGATAACAAAGAGTTAAGTTTCAACAGAGGACCTCTCAAGAAAATAAGGACTACAACCTCGGCACAGCAGATGACATCTAAGTGTTAAAATATCACCAAGTAGGCCCTAGGAACTCATTGTGCGTCCGATTGTTTCTGTGGTCAACGTGGAGTCCTCTTTCCTCAATGCATCTACCATCCCCTTATGACCTGGACATTCACCACGATCGCCAGAGTTTATCAATCAATAACATTAAGAATAGCCACCTTAGTAGCAAGTCCGGTGAAGGACACAAATCCTCGCCGGCGATGTCAGGCTCGGTTGCCGCGAGCTCGGGCGAGCCCTCTCCGGCAACAACAACAGTTCCTGGAACGGACTGGCTTCATGAGGCCCTGCAAGAATACCACGGCGAGTTAGTGCAAACAGGAAGTCCCGCCGTCCTGTGCTCGGCTCTACCGTCACACTGGCGTTCGAACAAATCTCTTCCCGTCGCATTTAAAGTGGTAGCTCTTGATGACATAATGGACGGCACGTTAGTGACTGTTAAAGCCGGTAATGATGAAAACTTCTGTGGTGAACTCAGAAACTGTACAGCTGTTATGAAGAATCAAGTGGCAAAGTTCAACGACCTGAGATTCGTCGGCAGAAGTGGAAGAGGTGAGTTAATGTAATATTCTATAGCCTAACCACAAGAGTTATGATATAAGATTAAAATTGTGTATATTAATTCGTAACATTAATATATCTGTAGACATAACATTAGCTGCGAAATGACGTCTGAACATTTAGCAAACACGTAAATAAATTAACTTTATTCATACTGGTCCGTCACACTAGTTAATTGTTATAGAATAATTTAACACAGTCCACTGTGACTTAATATATATATAAAGTGTATATATGTTTTAAGTCACCGAAACATGTAAAGTCACTATATAATTATATATATATATATTTTGTGACCATCTTCAAAAGGCAATAACAATATGCTGAGGAACTACTATTACATGGATCATAATACGGAAAAGAATTACTAGACATAATTATGGACACAAACTGAAAGGAAAGAGATGCGTGGTGTGTGAATTGGATTTTCGACACTCACATACTAAGATATAAATTTTTAAAAAATTAGACAATTTTCGAAGTAACATTTTAAAAATCCTGGAAGATGAAATTTGTAATAATAGTCTACTTTTGAAGTCGGAACAGGCTGACTGAGCCGTATAACTACATGGATATTACTATTTACGTGCCTGAAATTACAATCTAGGCTATGTTACATGATTCTTTTAGGCTAACATACTTTTAAGATGTTACAAAAGCACAAGAATACACAATATTTTATGGGTTAATTAAGGGACCAGTAGCCTGTTAATAATATAGGTAAGCCTATGACTTAAAACGAATCGAATTTGACAAAGAGATTTACACGATTAATAATCAAACACCTGAATAT